CCTAACAGCATCGGAAGATACATTTACATAGCCACTCCTAAGGACCAGGAAGGAAGTTCCTCACCTTGTTCAGCTACAAAACAAAACTATCAACTTCCAGCAAACCAGCAGAGGCACAGCTTGGGCAGGTATGAACTAATTTCACGGTTAAATATTAACCAATTTTAATTTTTAAAGATAGAAACAAACATTTATGAAAAGACTCTAGTTAGGAAGAATATAAGAGGGCAAATTAAGAGTTCCTGAAGACTCAGGCCATCTTTAGCACTCACGTTCTTGCCTCATCTCAGACATAAAACTCCCTCAAAACCAGAAGTGAAGTTGCTGGGTCTGCTCTGGGTCTGCGGGTTTTTCCAGCCTTTCTGGCTTTGGCCGGCCACCAGCTTTCGGCTTACCCTTGCCAGGCCCTCGTCCCTGGCCAGCCACAGTGACTAATGCTCCACTGCACCTCCAGTTTGCCAGATTCGTTGCTGAAGGCTGTGATATTTGTTCGGTTATGATTTATAAAAACGAATTAAATTAAGGGGAGCCAAGAGAAGAGATGTTTGTAGCCGAGGCCGTTTCCTTCGGTGGAGAGCTCGAGCGCCAGTCGGGTATACCGTGCGGAGCCCTGGTGGTGCGCTTCAGAGCTTCCTGAGCCGAGAGTGAGTGGGGGTTGCGGGACCAGCGGGAATTAAAACGTCGAGGAAAGAGTTGGGGTGGGATTAGCGGGTTCAAAAGCAGGTCAGGGGGAGCTAAGCGTGGCGACCAAGTCCCTGCTAGGTCAAGGTCCTTGGCAGGGGCTGGCTCAGGGATCTGCAGGGAGCTGCACAGGCCTGTCCACTGCCTATCCTCGGGGACCGCAGGGCGACGGAACCCCATGCTCTTCTGCGACAATTTCAGAACCCCGTTAGAGCTCCCTAGTAGAGCGTGTGCTCATTTGAAGGACAGAATTTCCTTACTCGTTTACTTTAACATTTTCTCTTTCTTTCTGTGTGAGACACTCAGCAGCTCGCGGCCATCCCCCAGCCCCAGCCGGTGCAATGTTGAGATCACAGGCGTCATTTCTCACTTCCCGCTTCTTTTTAATAGTATCTTTTTTTCTTGGTGGCCGGATAAATATATCGACCCACGCAGGTAAAGTTTTCTTCTCAAGAATCTCTTCCTCCTCCTGGCATCAGTGGCCCAGTGGTTCAAATAGGGGAGGGAGGGCTTCTGACACCAAGCACTCTCTCGAGTGCATCCTGTGGCAACAACACCGAGGGAAAGCTGGGAGTTGGGGCTCTACCGTCTTCTCTTTCCGAAAGAAGCGCTTGTGTGATTTCAAGCCCGGAGCGTTTGGAGGACTGTGGCGATACCGTAGAATTCGAAATCCTGGCCTTGCTGGCGACCTAAGAAAAATTCACAAAGCAGCCAGGATGGCGGAGGGGGAGTAAATTAATCATTAGTGTCTCCACTAGGTAGCCACCTCCAACGTCTCCAGGCGCCACAGCCAGCGCTTGAGTCCTGGCCTCCGCCTTATTTTCTGCCCACCCCACTAAACCCTATCCCCCCCCACCCCCACCCCCCCCCCGTCCCCGCGCTGTGCGGACTGGGGAATGCGCTGGTGGACTTCTGGTTGAAATCCCGGGGTTCTGGAGCCAGTTCGGGCTTAGCTTTTTGGAGAAAGACTGAGTGGACTCCGGCAAAACGATAAGTTTCACATTTCCTATTCTCTGGGACTGAGACCGAGATGGCTTCGAAGAGGCCCGGGCTAGGCTCCTAGGGAATCTGGGGTCCTGAACGTGGAGCGCCGGGCGGCTCCCTTGTCTGTCTGAAAGACTTCCCCCACTGCAGGCCCTGGGTGCCGACGCCGACCTGAGCGCTGCTGACTCGAATTCGATGCACGGCGGCTGATCCTGATGGATCCACTGCCGGAGGTGGACTCGGGTTTAAGTGGAGTCAGTGGATGTGGCTTGGCTCCGAGACACAATGCAAATGTCCTTTAAGGTTCCCAGTTCCACGGAGCCCGGCATCTGTTCACTGGAAAAGCGCTTGGGGCTGAAGACGCAGTCTCTTCATTCTTTACTTGTTTAAAGGAGGCGGGCTTCCCCTCGGTGCTGCTTGCTACCGGCCCAAACCACAAAAATTATGAGACTGAAGGCAAGAAAGCCTCCCACCGCTCTCCTTTGCTCCTGTGTCCTCCCTCCTATATCCCTGCATATCCTTGTTTTTGAATAAATTTACCACGAAAGTTCTGTATGTAGCACTTTCTTTTTTAAAAATAAACTAGTATTTTAAAGGACTTCCTTGAGAGAGAGAGAGAGAGAGAGAGAGAGAGAGAGAGAGAGAGAGAGAGAGAGAGAGAGCGAGCAGATGCTGGTGACGGCAGAAGAGGGCATGGGATCATTTATAGCTGGAGCCAAAGGTAGAGCTCTTAACTTCTGAACCATCCCACTTAATTAGTATTTTAAAAATCCACCTGTTTATTATGCACACCCAAAGGCCTGGAGTCAGAGGACAGTTTTCAGGAAAGGATTCTGTCTGTCCTACCACATGGGTTCTGGGGATGGATCCAGCCATTAGCCTGGTTGGTGACCAGAGCCTTTACCCACTGAGCCATTTCTCTGTCTCTCCTTTATGTATTTGAGGCAAGGTCTGGTGGCCTAGGCTGGGTGCCAGTTCATTATAATCTTGACCTTCTGATCCTTACTTCGGTTATAGACTGGTATCCCACCTCAGGTGTCTGATTTTGGGAAGTCAATAAGTGATCTCAAAGTTCTCCTTTTCAACACCAGTTAATATCCTATTCTACTTTGCTTATCTGCTCAGCTGTAGGCCCCGGGGAAATTCAGTCAGCCAGCACTGCTGAAATAGCTTACAACCAAAGCCAACCTGTCTGCAGCCTTCTCCACCCAGAGCCTTTGAATCATTATTCTGCAGGCTCAACAGCACAGAGAAATCTAACTCTGGGGGTTGCAGAGGGACACACTTATCTCAGAGCACAGGTGGGTTATCTCAGAGCACAGGATGGCCACCCCCTGGCCATCCTGGTCAAGGGACTAGGAAATAGACCTCTTCATCCTGGGGCATTTGCAGAACTGAAGAGTGTTAGAGTATCGTTTTTGTGGTATAGGTTTTGTTGAAAGAGATATTTCCTTCTTGGGAATTGTCTTCTAAGAAGCACTTCCCTCTTTCTTGAGACACAGTCTGGAGTTCAGGCTGGTCTTGTCCTCCTGCCTCTACCATCCAATGCTGGGTGACACTTGTGGCCCCTCTCCAGGCCATTTTGTAAACAACTTAAACATTGAATAAAAGATTTGAATTTTGTCATAATGAGAATATGTATGTGTTGTAAGATTAATTAAAATCAGGACTCCGCAGAGATGCTTACCCTAATTAGTCAGAAGAGTGTAGAGTAGTCTATCTTTGCTCCAGGATCCACCTGGCTGTGGGACAATGTGTGTGTGTATCTAAGCTAAGCCTGGGTGTGGGAACCTTATGTGTATCTAAGCTAAGCTTGACTGTGGGACAAAGTATGTGTCTAAGCTAGACATGGCTGTGGGACAATGTGTATGTGTAAGCTAAGCATGGCTACAGAAACAATGTGTCTGTCTAAGCTATTCTGTTTTTGCAACAAGGTTTAGTTACTCTCCTACAGCTTGGTGGCACTCATCTGTCATCCAGCACTGGGGGGGAGGGAAGGAATTGAGGCAGGAGGTCAGAAGTTCAAGGCCACCATTGGTCACAGAGTACATTTGAAGCTACCCTGGGGGAGATATATCTATATCTGTATGAGAGAGAACTTGAAGGTTGTTCTGCTGGATGGCCTGAATAATAACAACAACAACAACAACAACAACAACAACAACAATAATAGATAGTTTCTTTTGCTGGATTATTCCTCCTCTGTCTCCCCTCCCAAACCACTATGTTTGTTATATCTATCTCTGTTCCCACAAGATATTTGTTGTTTTGCATTTCCATGTCTAAATTTGTGATTGTGGCAATGAGTTTTCTCAGTTATTTTTAGTTTTGATTTTAAGGAAACAAAATTTCAAAGTTATGGAAGTTACCAGAATAGTAGACGGGCTGCAGCACACTGGACTTCTCCACAGCTGTTGCATCCCTTTCTTCCTCCATACCTGAGTCCTTATTCTTCAGGGTTACAGTGTATCTCCCTGTATGAGGATGAATTCACCTGCCTTCCTGCTGGGAACAAAATCAGGACAATTTAACATTGATACAGCCTCCATGTCCTATTCACATTTTGTCAACATCTCAACAATATCCTTTCTATTTTTTTTTTTTTTTTGGACCAGACTTTAATCCAATATTATCCATTACATTCTGTCTTAAAAACTCTTAGTTGATCCTAGTTACAAACACTTTATTTACTTTTTTGTTTGTCTTTGCAACATAATTTTGAAGGACACACCCAATTTTTGCATACATTTTAGATTTTTAATTAACTAATTTTTGAGACAGGTTTTACTATATAGCTCAGACTAGCCTGAAAACTCATGATTTTCCTGCCTCAGTTGCCCCCTGTTTTAGTTTGAGTACCCTGACACAGAAAAGGGTTGTACAAAGAACCCTTGTCTTGATCTATTTGTGCATAAATTGCTGTTACAAGGAAACCAAAGCCCTGGAAATTACTGTGCAGATCCATCTCCTCAGGTCTGAGTGCTGAGATTAAAGGCATTTGACACCATCTTTTATTTTTTGAAACAAGCTTTCATGTAGCCCAGGTTGGGCCTATATTATATAGCCAAGGATGACTTTGAAATTCTGAGCCTTCTGCTTCCACCTCCCAAGTGCTGGGATCACAGGCATGAGTGAGTCCCCACGGCCACTTAGGGCTTTTTGCATACTAGGCAAGCACTCTACCCTCTGAGCCCCTTCCCCTCTTGACTGTTTCCCTTTCCCTATTTTTGTCACCCTTTATCTGGCACGGAGAAACTTGCCCCTCCTGCAGTTGCAGTTCACTGGATTGATTCCCTGCTGTGTAATTACATTTCTGTTATGGCCTCACACTAAGCATGGAGACCGCCAGGTGAGGCTTAGCCTCCCCCCCTACCCCCCCCCCTGGGGTGGGGTTTAGATGCCCACTGTGCAGACAGTTGCTGTGGCACACACTCTTCCTGGCAGTGAAACTGCCCTGGTTTGGCTCCACCTACTGGTTTTTGAGTGGACCTTTCCAGGAGGGAAGAGCAAGAAGCATTGCGTGTTAGGATCACGCCCTCTCCATGAGACTACAGTAAGTCTCTCTTATTGTTCTCCTTCGGGGGGGGGGGGCACAGAAGGGTCCACTCATCCACTCTTTTCACCAAAAAACAAAACAAAACAAAAAAATACCACCACTACAAGCCTCCTCGTCTCCTCGTGCAGATTCCCCTAATCATCCACAGAAAAGAATCTCTGAGATGTTCATACAGGAGCAGAGCACCTGGGGCTAAGACTTCAAGGTATGTGTGTGATTCAGCACTCTATGAGGGCTGTTCTGTCACACTCACTTGCTTCCTACCCACATTCAAGAATATGTTCATATGTGCATATATAAACATATATACATGTTCATATAAGTATATACATGCATATAGATACACACATATTCATATACATATATACATACACATACAAGAAGTGTCTCTACACAAATGTGATGCTGGACACCTACAGGAACCTCACTACTTTTAGTTGTAGATCTCAGCTTGTGGTAGTTACGCCTGGAGGTGTACCACCAAATAGCGCCCAGCCGCAGAGGATCATCTGCTGCAGGACGATATTTGTCGGTACACTTCCGGGCAGAACCGGGATCAGATGGGTCCTCTGCGGCTGGGCACTATTTGGTGGTACACTTCCAGGCGTAACTACCATAAGCTAAGATCTATAACTCATACACACACACACACACACACACACACACACACATATATCCTTGGATGTTGTGGGACTCCATATATAAACCAGGCTGGCCTTGAACTCAAAAGAGACACAGCTGCTTCTTGAGTGGTGGGATTAAAGGGTTGTGATGCCTCACCAGAACCTGTATTTTCCTACTCTTAAGTTTTTAAAATACAAACTTTTCTTTGAGAATTTCAAACGTGTACAATGTATTTTGGTTCTGTTCACCCCTTCTCTCTTTCCTTCGAATCCACCCTCCAGGCCCACAACCCCCCACCTCTGCCTCCAACTTCATGCCACAGCCTCCTCTTTCTCCCCCTTCTTATAGCCTACTGGGCCCAATTACTGCAGTGTACATATTCCTGAGCATGGATCCACCTGGTGGAGCAAGGTCAACTTACCAGGGGCAAAACTCTTAAAGAAGCCCACCCACCCAAATCTCCCTGCCCTAACATTCATCAACTATGAGAACCTTCTCAGCTGGAGGAGGGGCTTGTGATCCTTCCCTCTCCACACTGGGATGCTGACTGGCTTGGTCTTGTCCAGGCAGTCAGGGCTACTGTGAATTCGAGGTCCTGATATGTCCAGAAGACACTGCTTCCTCCTTTTCCTCCCCAGATGTGTACTGTCTTTCTGTCTCTTTTTACAAATGTCCCTGAACCTTGTGTGGGGGGGTGTTGGATATAAATGTTCTATTTGTGGTCACTATTCTTACCTTTTAGACAACTTGAAATTGAAGGAGCTTTCATTGTTGTGTTGGTTCCCCCAATTTCTGGTTATCTTTGGTGATCTCCCAGCATGTCAGTAGCCTTTGGCTTTCTAGGGTTTGAACACTTAGCCACAAAGGGTCTACACAGGTCGGATCGGTCATTTGGTTCTCCAGTTCTTCTCCCCACTACAATGGCTTGAAAAGCTTTTTATCAGCTGTATATAGATCCAAAGCATGTGTGTTATTAAAACATTAAACTATTTTTCTGTGACTGGGCATCCTGAAATCTTTCAGTAGCACAACACACATGTATATATATCATACACATACAAACATATTCATACTTTTATATATTTGTTCCCACACCAGAATTTCTTTGAGTAAATCCCCACAAATGCTGTCTTTAGTATGAGACACACATTAGAAGCCATGGTATTTGACCACAATTATGTATCTGCTCTCATATTTGTAGCAGACAGCAGGCATCCCATCAGGGATGGATTGCTGGGGAGAAAGGCCACAACACTAAGAACTGTCTAGAGATGGGAAGAGTCCTTTAAGCTGGCAGTAGGTGGAGAGGACATCTCCAGGAGAAACCTAGCACATAGTTTGGCTCTGATGTGCAGGCAGTGGTGTAGGAGGCCTCAGCTTCTGGGAAGTGCTCCCTAAGATCCACTGAAGTGAGCCTCTACTGTCAGGAACACTGTCAGCCAGGCATGTGGAGTGTGTAAATGGACCCCACCCAACAAGGAGATTCTTCGCTCACGAGACTGGCAGGCTCCACCATGTATAGTCTGCAAGTTGTGCACAGGCAAGGTGACCACAGTCAGAAAGGTAAAAGGACGAGCTGCTTCTTCAGAGATACTATGTGGGTAGACCTGGTCCTGCCTCCCAGCCACAGTGAGAAGACAGTGCCCAGGGCTCTCTGACCCCAGGATAGCCACATAAAGACACCTAGTAGATATTGTCAAAACTTCTCCATTCCTGAACTATCTCCTGAAGGGGACATGCCCCTTCCCAGCAGTACCCAGGGAGGCAGCCCTGCCTCTTGAAGAAAGTCTCACCCCACACTGCGCTGGGCTATGTTAAGGAATCCTCACAGACTTGGGGTAACGGTGTATTCTTGGGGTGGGCAAGGAGAGGAGTGAAGACTAAGAGAAAGAGATGTTATGCGTCAGTTAAATCATTGATAACACCTGAGTCATCAACCAGCCTTAGTGTCTCATCAGTCTGTTACATTAGTCTATCTGTGTCCCTGTGCCTGCATAATGTCAGCAGTTTCATGTGACCTCCTAACTAAGGTCTTTGCTTTCTTTTTTATTGGACAGGGCAGAAGAAATAAGAGATCCTGCATAGAAATCTTTAACAGGGTTTCTTGTGTGTTTGGTTTTTTTTTTTTTTTTGTTTTTGTTTTTTGTTTTTTGTTTTGTTTTGTTTTGTTTTCAAAGAATTGAACTTTTCTGACTTGAAGTGACCTGAAACACTAAAAAAGGCGAACATTCATGTATCAAATAATACCAGTATGCTGTTTCCAGCATTTAGGGCAGATGTTTGACATATAAGGCTGCTTTCATGTGACTTATTGCTTCCAGTATTTATTACCCTAACACACATGCACACATGCATTTCTCAGGGGTCATGGAAATGGGAGAGCATATAACTGAAGATTAGAGCTATGCACTAACTTAGGTTGTAAAAGCTGATTATAAAAGAAACCCAAGGCAAGTAAGGTTGGGTGTTACATTGTTCTCCTAAAGGCAGGTGAAACAAACTGGCATAGTACCTAGCAGGATAGCAGTCTTAAGTCACCTCAAGGTGTATTATTAACTGGGATGTCAGGTTCTGTAAAAGTTTCAATATTTTAGAATGTAAGAGATGTTTGCATAATAACACATTGCTATAATGGTGTTCCCTGTCTCAGAGTGAACCCCAAAGGCAGTGAAAGAAATGGATGGAGACCTAGGCAGCTGTCTCTTGGGTACTGGGGACTGTGAGGAGGTGGGCTGCCCAGTAGCCAAACATGGGCTTTGAGAGCAGCTCTTCCTTTCTCTGAGCAAAGATTTGAGCCAGAGACTGACAGCCAGTGAGGGCCTGACATCTGTGTCCTTGTCTTGGTTATTTTTCTGTTGCTGTGACAAAACACCATAACCCAGACAACTTACAAATGAGCTTTTATTTTTGCCAGCAGTTCCAGAGGGACAAGAGTTCATCATGGGGCAGACTTAGCAGTAGGCGTTGGCAGCTGGGTATGCATAGCGTTTATCATACACATGGAGCAGAAAGATCAACCAAAAGTGGATGAAGCGTTCTTACTCTTCAAGCCCATCCCAGTGACATACTTCCTCCAGCAAGGCTACACCACCTAAATCTCTCCAAATGGTGCTACCAACTGGGGACCAAGTACTCAAATGCCAGAGACTATAGAGTCCATTTCTCATTCAAATCACCACAATATTCCTTAGCTCTTTGGCTGAATACCAGCTCCCTGAGCAGCCATCTCCCTGAGCAGCACTGTAACAGTGCTATATCCTGGCAGGGCCAAGATGACCAACAAGAGTTATCTACCCAAGGAGCATCTCCTCTTGGAAAGAGACATCCTCAGGAAGTTTTTTCAAACTCCCAAGACAACTGTAAAAGGAGATACTCTTGCTCCCCCTAGTGGAGATATTCTTTCATGCGGAGAGGACTCAGGAAGCTCAATGGACGCTCAAGGCTGCTCTCCAGGGTTGTATAAACAGCACCAATTGCTAGGGAGAGAAGACTTTCTGTGGAGCTGGATGTAAGCTGGGCAGGGAGCACCAGGCTTGCAGCTTTCCTGAGTTGTCACCCATGCTAGGTGGCCTTTCAGTAATGAAAACTGCCTTCAAGGCACCCATGTTCCCATAAGTAATTCCGAAAAACACCTTGGTTCACTAAGGTAGATTTGGGTGGATCAGTCACTTTGATCGTGGTTGGTGGTTATTCAGGATTGAATGGCCCTTCATGTCTCCCCAAAAAGAGTCATAGAGAGATGACTCAGTGCTTAAGAGCACCGACTATTCAGAATGCTTGGTTCAAGTCCCAGAACCCACAAGGTTAGCTTATAACCACTTGCATCTCCAGTTCCAGGGGATCCAGTGCCCTCTGCTAGCCTCCAAAGGCACCAGACATGCATGTGGTGCACAGACATGCATGCAGGCCAAACACCCATACTCAATGAAGAAAACAGGAAAGAAAAGAAAAATGAAAATGATTCCAAATGGTCAAGCTTAGGTTTTTGAGTTCCCTACCCACCCTGTGAGCCCCACTTGCCCACTTAATAGATGGGGGAAGTCAAGGCTCAGATAGTTTAGGTAACTAACTACCTAAACTACAGCCACACAGCCAAGGCAAAGCCAGCTTCCTCTATCACTTGGGCCAGATGCCTACATGTGCTAGCTGTATTGGTGGAGAATGGAGTT